GGCAGCGTGAACGGGCTGCAGGGGCAGCGTGAACGGGCTGCAGGGGAAGCGTGTACGGGCTGAAGGGGCAGCGTGAACGGGCTGCAGGGGCAGCGTGAACGGGCTGCAGGGGCGACGTACGGGCTGCAGGAGCGACGTACGGGCTATAGGGGCAGCACGCGGGCCACAGGGGCAGGCGCGGCTGCAGGGGCAGCACGGTAGCAGGGGCGAGCACGGCTGCAGGGGCAGCACGGTCGTAGGGGCGAGCACGGCTGCAGGGGCAGCGCGGTCGCAGGGGCAGCACACGGGCTGCAAGGGTCGCGACAGTGAGAGCTAGGGGCGCCAGCGTGCTGGCTACTGTGTAGGGCGTGGCGCTACCACTAGGGGGAACGGTGGGCCCATGTAGGAACGGTTCCTACTCTGATAACATGAAAAAAATAGAACTAGGAATGAATGATTGAACTAGGCAAGAGGTGAGTACAAGTAGGGGAAACCTAACCCTAAAGTGTTGTACTCACTAAGGAGTGACCCTACTGTAGCCTAGAGATACAATTGTAATCTGACACTTTCTCCATAGTTGATAGTCGCGAAAACAACTGCTCGAGTGCGGCAGTTCTGATCGTGGTTGTCGCCTCATTTGTCGCAGCCGGGTTGGTTTGTCATTCGGCCGTCAGATTCACTTGGCCTCCGGATCCTCCGGCCATCTTGGTTTTGGAGCGTGTGCCGCTCGCCAGATCTTGATTCGGCGAATTTCACGGAAGTGAATTTGCGAAGAATCCCTTAGTAGCTCTCATACCATGTTACAATCCCAAGTGGGACTTAGTGAAGGATCGCTCAGGGTCGATCGCAGGGTAATGTTGCAGCGGAAGTAGTGAACTCATGTCAGAGTGAATGTAAATGACTGAGATTGATAATAGCATGCACACATTGAGTTTATATAGGAAATACAAAGGAATACGAAACGACCTAGACTAGCCATGTACTCTAAGGGGTACATTCCCTTATTACAGCGAAGTTCGAACCGTGCGGCGCGGGAACCCGTTTCAAACCTGTTCCCGCTCTTTTCACTTCGAATGTTTCTGCCTGCATCGGTCTTGATCAGACGGTTACCAGTGTCGCTTCGACTCTTCTGACTCCCCAGCTTCGTACACTTTAGAGTCGGCCCCTGTAGCATACAGGAATGCCTTCTCGTAAAGTTTCATATCGTAACATTCTTGAGCACAACATCTTATTAGAGCGTATTCCTATCCTCGTATCAAGGGAACCTCATATCAAAATTCTACTTTTTGCCTGGTAAAACTAGCGAGAGGTTTTGGGTTTAGGGGAATTTTCAGTGGGAGGTTGATATGAGGTTCTCTTGATACGAGGATAGGAATACGCTCTTAGTTCAGCCTTGTTTTAACGTTCTACTACACAGGAATAACGAGCTCTAAAGCACTCCCCGGAGATCGGGTTGGGGGGGTTTTCCCGTGAGTCAGGTGGAGCTGCTGACGGGCGGCTGCACAACCACAGCAGCAACGTGTGCCCGTTCTTCCTTCCACTGCGGACGGATCGGCGCTCGGCGGGTAAGGCGGTTGGCGGGAATTACACTTTCTCCCGCTGACGTAGAGAGTCACCTTTCACTTCTTGAAGTGTAGCGGTGAAACTTGCCTGTGTCACGTGACTAACCTCCTTCTCCACTATTTGTCCTTCCCACCACCTGCAAGTGTAGCATGGCAGCGGTGGCGGCAGCTCCTTGCCCCCGGCAGCACCAGCAGCACCTGGTGGGCGGCAGCAGCAGCTCTTGGTCTCAGCTGCAGCTGACGGCTGCAGCATCTGTCGCCCAGCATGTGGTGAGTAAACTCTTGGCGTCCCCCCCCCCTTGACTCGTGCTGTGGTGGTGAGGAACACCCTTGCATTCTCCTAACACCGCAGTTGCTTGTCTTCTCCTTTTCCACTCTTCCTCTCCCTTGTATTTCTTGTCACCACCTGCAGGTGGCGGAATGCAGCAACGGATGGCGGCGCACGGTAGCACCAGCTCGTGAGCAGCACCATCGTGTCCTGATGGGCGGCGGCTGCACCAGCGGCGCTTGACGAGCGGCGGCCGCGTTCAGCAGCTTGTGCAGGCCAGCTTCTCGTGCCGACCAGCAGCTTCACCTTCAACGGCGTGCAGCAGGTGTCGCACACCAGCAACATTACCCGGCGCTCGGCAGCAGCATCAGCGGGCTGCAGTAGCGACACACTCGCGGAAGTAGCGGCGGGTGAGCTGCAGACGACTAGCAGCAACGAGCTGCTTACCCATTCTTCTGCGGAGGTGAGGTGTTCCTTACAGGTCAGATCCGTTTGAGCGAGCGTTGTGCTCTCCTCTCTGTCACACGCAAGTTCGTGACTTCTTCACCCTCGTATCTTATGCGCCCTTGTTACCCTGTGCTGCCCCCCCCTCCTACACCAGGTGGCACACGGAAGCAGCTGAACATGGCGGCAGCAGCTTCACCCGCCCGCCTGCAGCTCCACCTCCCGTCCCGCAGCTCGACCTGCTGGCCTGCAGCAGCAGCTAACAGCACCTGAGGGGCGGTAGCATTTCCAGCAGCGCCTGGCACCTTGCAGCACCATGGTGACAGCAGCGACGGCAGCACAGGAGGCGGACGGCTGCAGCCGCATTGCAGCAGCGGCGGCAGCACCTGGCCTCCGTCAGCAGCAGCAGCTCCTGGCAGGCGGCAGCAGCACCAGCAGCGTCTGACGCCCTGCACCAGCACTGCAGCACCAGCAGCTGTCGTCCTGCACGACCAGCAACAGCTGCTCCATGGTAAGCTGGCAGACTGGTAGCTGCATCTCATGCAGTTCTCCCACGCGTGCACCAGCTGTGGCTTGCTTCCTGCTCTTGTGCTGTGTTGAACTCCTTCGTCTTGGATCATGCCAAGTATGATTTAACCCGTGTTGTCTTGTTATACTCCCCCTGAAACCAGCAGGTACCCTTGTAGCAGCGGCTGCCCGTGGACAGCAGCAGCTGGAGCACTTCAGCAAGTGTTGACCGATTGCAACAGCAGCTGCTAGCACACGACAGCAGCATCAGTGACCCCTTGTCTTGTTTGCTGATGGAACAGTAGGTCGTCTCATGAACTTGACCCCTTGACTGGCTTGTTGATGAACTTCAGAAATGAAAGTGAGAACGAACTCCCGAAACCTGCTTGGTTGCTCTGCTAGAAACTCCACACCCCACTCCCCCTCTCACTCGTGTCTGCGAGCTTGCTCATTGCTGCCAACACACGAGTGAGGTGTGTGGAGTTAAGTGACATTCAGTTGTGCAGCACATCTCAAGAAGCCCGTATATGTGAGTGTTGCATCAGCACCATTGACTTGTCGACCCTTTGCAAGTGCTGCACCAGGTGAAATCCGTTGGACGCCGCACAGGCGGCTGCAGGTGATGTCATGTCCTTTGGCAGGTGTGGGCTGGTCCTTAGTCGTGTCTTCTGCCTTCTTGCATGCCATGTCAGCCATGCGCACCCTCGTTGTTGCATATCTCATCGTGCTTCCAGCATCATCTTTATCCTCCACTGGTACGGAAACATTAGCCGTAGGCAAGTCATCTGCCGCAGCACCTCCCCTTCCTTTGGTTGCTTTGTCTTCATCAGCTCCAGGTAAGTTTTGTTCTGTAGAGTCTCCTTCATCCACCGCGAACCTTTGTCCTTCTCCCCCTGAAGTCAACACCGCAACGTGTTGTGCATCTGCCCCTTTCATCATTGCCCTTCATTTTTTTTCCGTATGTCGCTTGCTGTCCTCCGTTTGAAGTTGCAGCATTTATGGTCCCGGTTTTCTCCGTTGCATGTGATATGTCGCTGGGCGCTTGACCAGCCATGCGTTGCTTCCCGCCAGTTTGGTCGTATGTGTGATACTTCACCACATCCGCGCGATCACATCGCAAATCACCACTTGACTGCATCCCATGACTCGTGCGCTCCATGCTCCATGCAGGATCCACTCCCATTAGTAAACGACGCGCGCGAGGAGGTATGATGCTGTCTTCAAGAAGGTGAGATCTGCCCATTACGGGGGCTCCAGTGGGATGAGAGTTAGTGGCAAGACCTCGAAGTGGGGGAGCACCAATAGCGTAGGACCCAAGTCCTACACCTTCCACGCCCACATGATCAAATTTGCCACTCCCTTCACCAATTTGCATGTTGAACTTTGCTCTCAGTGACGTTTGAAGTGTTGGTGGTGCCATTGCAATCATATTCTCCAGGTGCTCATGTTGAGCCAAGATTGCTTCTTCAAACGCCTCGTATCCAGTGTCGACTTCATTGTCGAACAGCACCATGCCTTGATCCAATAATTGTCTCTTGCTATGCCAATCTGCTAATGTGCTTGGCCAATATGAATGATCAAAGAGTTCTGACCAAGTTTCGGCAGCATGCCCCCTAGAGTAGCTCTGATACCATGCTAGAAAGGCATAGTGCCGTCGTAGCGGAAGCCTTGATTGTATAATAGATAGCAAGAGAAACTTGCAACTGAAAGGATTCAGAATAATGGAATATGATAATGAAAGCACACAGCAGGGTATTTATCCATGCAGCTACCCTGCCAAAGTCTAGCCATCCCCACCAATAATTGTACCTCCAATAATGGCAGCTCCAATAAAGGAGTACCAATAATTCTACCCCCAAACCTCTAGACTCCAATAATGCAGCCCCTACAATAATTGTACAATTATTGTAGGGCCTAGAGGCTTATATAGAGGATTACACTAAAACCTAACAGCATATGTATATTCTTATGCCTTATATTTCCAACATTCCTATCCTCGTATCAAGAGAATCTCATATCAAGATTGTACTTTTTGCCTGGTAAAACTAGCGAGAGGTTTTGGGTTTAGGGGAATTTTCAGTGGGAGGTTGATATGAGGTTCTCTTGATACGAGAATAGGAATACGCTCTTAGTTCAGCCTTGTTTTAACATTCTACTACACAGGAATAACGAGCTCTAAAGCACTCCCCGGAGATCGGGTTGGGGGGGTTTTCCCGTGAGTCTGTGACCCGTCCACAACACTAGTACGGCTTGAAGCGATCCTTCCCCTTGCCTTTCCGCTTGCCCCCCTTCACCCCTGCGCCCTCCTCCTCCCCCTCGTCCTCTTGCCGCTCAATCCCTTCCCATTGGCACAAGCACCCATCCTCCCCTCCTGTCCAGTAAGCAACAGCCGTTCCTGCATGAGGTGCTGGGAGTGCCACTCTCACCACATCCCTCACCACCGCTGAATGGGCCCCGGATAATAGCATGTCCGGGCCGCTGACCTGGCAGCTGCCAGGTGGTACGCTCATGCTGGTGCCACGTGGATCCTCTGACATCATCGCATCATCATCATCACGAGCAGCAGCCGCAGCCGCAGCGGCAGCAGCAGAGGTTTCCGGAGGGTGGGATGGATTGGAGAGGGTGGGGGGCAGGGAGATGGGGAAGGAGGCTGCATGGCCAAGGTGGGAACCGGCAAAGAGGCGGAGACGGGGGGAGGGCGCGGGGGAATAGTCACAGGCTACCAGATAATCCACCTGTGTGGGTAGAGGGGGAGAGAGGGAGGGAGGGAGGGGAGGGAGACGGGGAGGAAGGCTGCATGATGTGCGGAGCGGCAACGAGGCAGAGACAGGGGGAGGGCGCGGGGGAATAGTCACAGGCTACACACGTGCCAGGGGAAGGGCAGAGTTAAGAAAAGAGAAGGGGCGAATAGAACGAGGGTTAAGACACGAGAGTCCACACGTGCCAGGGGAGCCATGTGAGGAGTCGTGAGGGCCATCAAAGCCAGCCCTTACACACTTGCTTCAAGTAGGGCCCTCACAAGCGGGCTTTAAGATGCCTCAAATCCCCGCACGTGAACATGGCTTAAAGGGCAACACCCGAATTACTCAACGGAAGTCAACGCGGGAAAACAGGTTTGGGAAAGCAGAGATTTGAGGTTCGAAAACCTCCCCTAAACCTTTCTTTCCCAAAACCAGTAGGAGCGAGACACAAACTGGCGACAGTTTGTGAAGGCCTCTTTGTAATTCGGGGGCTGGGCTCTAAGATGTGTCAACAGAAGGGGCAACACTCACAGGCACTTGGAGGGGCCACTTTTCGGAGAGAGTTGAGCGAATGTCGTCAAAAGACGCAATGGGATTGCCGGTCCAGAGATCCCAGAGGCTGGTGGGAGGGAGATTGGAGAGGGGAGAGGAAGGGAGGAGAGGAAGGGAAGAGGGCAGGAGAGCGAGGAGGGGGAGGAGGGCAAGAGGGGAGGAAAGGAGATGAGGAGGACAAGAAATGGAGGGAAATTGAGAGGAGGAGTAGGGGGGAGGAAGGTGGGGCAAGGGGAGGCGGAATGGGAGAATTCAGATATTCTAGGGGCAATCAGACAAACATAGGGTTACCGGTTCAGAAGTCTGAGAACCAAGTTGGAAACTAACAGGGGGGAAGGAAGTGGGGACAGGAGGCATTGAAAAGGATGCCGGATTTGAGAAAGGGGATTCGAATCCACAGCGGTATACGGGGCAGAGGAAGAGATCACACGAGAGAATGTACGGGAGAAAGGGGAAGTGAAAAGGCGAAGTGAAGCCTTTACATATTCTGTAAGGATGTCAGATACTACCCACCCACCTGAGAGTCTCAACGCTGGTGAGGCACCAAAGAGCAGAGGCAGACGGGCCAAAGAAGCCAATGCGAGAGATGGATGTGCCAGGGCTTATTACCTGGAGGGTTGAGGAGGGAGGGATGGAGAAGGGGGAGGGAGGGAGCAGAAGGACGGGCACAAGAGGGAAAGAGCAGGAAAATGGGGTGCTTGGGGTGTGTTCATGGGTGGGTGGATGGGAAAAGACGCCGAAGCACGCAGAAACTAAGCGCAAGCGGAATTCTATTGTAAACGCACGAAGCCAAAGAATGAAAAAGAAAAGGAAAAGAAGAAAACAATGAAAGGATTAAATTTAGTAAGGAGGCAAGGGAGTGGGCATTGGGCAGCACTAGTCAGGGAAACGGCAAGAAAAAGGAAGAAAGGAAGGCAGAGATGGCGATGCAAGCAAGGGAATGGGCACTGGGCAGCAGTGGTTACGGACTGACTGGAGCGGGTCGGCGTCGGCATATCGCTCTGATGTTGCTGCTGCTGCTGCTGGGGTGGTTACTGTCGAGGCGGAAAGTGACGCCTCGTGCGGTGGAGAGAGGTCAAAGCGGCAGATGAGGCCGTCGAGCGCGGCCGAGAGGAGTGCAGTGCGGTGGAGCGGGTGGAAGCGAACCTGAAGGGAAGGGGCAGAGCCGCAGAGGACGAGCAGTTAATGGAAAACGAGGGGAAAGTTGGCAAGGAGCTTGTTGCGCTGATGTGGCGCTGATGTGGTGCTGACGTGGTGCTGACGTGGTGCAGACGTGGTGCGGATGTGGCACTGACGTGGTGCAGACGTGGTGCTGATGTGGTGCTGATGTGGTGATGATGTGGTGATGATGTGGTGCTGATGTGGTGCTGATGTGGTGCTGATGTGATGCTGAGCAGAATTTAAGCAGCAAGTGGTAGGACCCTATAAGTGCCCACCTAGTGACGTCACAGCACACCCATGTGACGTCACAGCCCACCTGAGTGACGTCACAGCCCACCTGAGTGACGTCACAGCCCACCTGAATGACGTCACAGCCCACCTGAGTGACATCCTCTGTGTGAGCATCCTCCAGTCGCCCCAGCAGCCGGCTGGACCGCATGTCCCACAGGAAGATCTGGCCGGACAAGAAACAGGTGTAAGGGGCGGGTGAGTCTACATCCAGTCACACCAACAGCCGGCTGGAGCGCATGACCCACAGGAAGATCTGGGCCGAACAAAGGGTTTAAGGAACGACCGATAGGAAAGGGATAGGGTTCAGGGTTGGCGGGTTTGATAAGATGACTACCTTTCAGAGACGCCTCAAAAATCTAAGAATTGTTTGAGTCGACGACTCGTCACTCGAGACAAACTGACCAACTTCCGGAGACGCCTCAATAACCTAATGATTTAGGATTTTGGACACGATGAACGAATAATAAGGCCAGTGGAATTTGCTGCCACCCTCCCCTTGTCTTCCGGAGTTCTTCACACTCACCTGGGAGTTTCCCCCTGCCGCCAGCAGGTGCCCTGTTGATCCGCCTCCCCCGCTGCAGCTCCACAGCTCGCCCGCCCCCCCGTACGCGGGGAAGACGCCCGCCTAGTGGGGGAGGAGTAGCGGGGCGATGGGGAAGGGGAGGGGGAGGCGGAGGGGGCGGGGGAGGGGTGTGGGGAAGGGGGAAAAGGAGAAGCAAGGGGAGAAGGTTGAGGGAGCAGTACTGCCAGGAATGGGGAAAAAGTAAAAAAGGTTACTCTCAGTGGGCTACGAATGCGCGTCAGTAGTCAGTCAGAGTGACTTAACTAGTAGCATAAAGGTCACTCTGACTGATCTGCGACTCCCTGATTCGTCTGCTTCTCGCCGTCGATCGGATCTCATCTTTCAAACCCCAAACCCTGAAACCCGTCCCCCCATCCAGATCACCTGTGCTCTTTCTCCGTGCGAGCCTACGCGAACGCAACATCAGCGGCGGATAAGAAAACGAAGAAAAGAAACATGTTCTATCAGGAAAGGGCAACAGTGTCTATTTATGAGGTGAAACAAATAAAAACCGATAAGGAAGACGACGAGACGAGCCATTTCAACTCGTGAGCAGCTCCCACCTGCGAACGTTTTTGATAAATTCTTGAAAAGTTTTGCAAGCGGTCACCTCCGATTTAGTGTGTCGTAGAGACAGATTTTAGAGAATTAGGGCTAAACGCGCCATAACTAGCAGCGCTCACCTGCGATCGAGCGCGCGCGTCCCAGACGTAAACCGCCGATTCGGAGGACGACGACAAAAGCACCTCGCTCCCCGGCCCCGCCCCTCCAAATGCCGCCTCCGCAAACCCTAAATCCGTCACCGTGCCAGGGTGGCGCGCTGCCACGTCACCCAGGGACGCGCCGGATACCACGTCGAAGGATTTGATTGCGGGCGCTGACGTGGACACTGCCATGAGTGGCGAAACCGAGCTGGGAAATTCGGGAGGATTAGGGTTTCGGCGATACCGACATTGAGATGTGAATAGAGAAGATGCGATGGTCGAATGATGACGTTACTCCGCGTATTCAGCAGCTACATATGTTAATCACACAAGCGCAGCTCAAAACGCAAATCCGGTTGCAGATACTGCCATACAAATTCTGCTTCATGAGACTTATGGGGCTCGGATTAGGCCAAAGCGGTAATAAAGGTTCAGAATCAGCGGTAATTCTGCCGTCAACCTAGCAGTATTGCTAGCGCACCTTACAGCGGTCTGCAAGACATAATCTGGGCCGTCGCTAGAACCACCCACTCTGATCGTGCGCGCTGGTTTCAACAGCTGACCGACAAAGACCGAAGAGCGGCTGCTACTGCAGCCAGCCCCATCATCCATATTATCTCTAGCTCTAGCTGCCTTCTAAAAAAAGATGTAGTAGATAGGTGTAGCACAACCGTCAGCCAGCACTTGGAGCGAGCCTGGATCAAGCTTAGATTGAGCTACGTAACGGAAAATCCTCCCCTTCTTGTATGCTTAGGAAATTCACCGGCACTGTACAGTGAAGTTCGCGTGCACTGTATGACTGGTTACTACACGTATTCTGTACGAGAAATGCCTGGTCTGGTTGGTGGTTTTGATTTAAAAACGGTTTATTTTCTTCCGACGTGACTGTTTTCTTCCGAGCCTCACAGGCCAATCTTGGCCAAATCAAATCGTTCAGGCGGAACCTTTGTGTGTTGAACAACGGGGTTTCCCTGCCCATGCACAATGAATGGCGTCTATTTTTGCCTTTCGTAAAATCGGCAGCGTATTTTGGTACAGTAACCTGCATTTAACGTTTGTTTGACAAGACGCACCACGAATCATCACATTTTTAGGCTTTCCCGAAAATGCCGGACTTTCGGAATCACCCCTCAACAACATCGTGGGTTTGGAGTCTTTCATCAGGTTATTTTTTAGCATGCTCAGGCTGGCTGACCCTCAAGTTGCTCCACCAAGCCGCTTCGCACTTCCCAAAGCCCACATCACCTCCAAGTTTTCGCGCGTCCCTGACCTGTCCCCACCTCCAATCACAAGTGCCAGCCGCGTCGTCTCATCCTTGGCCAAATGCGGCTAGGGGGGAAGCACTTCTTCCTGTCCGTCCGATTCAAATCCGTCACACGAAAAGACAAAATCATGACAATCCTTCCCCTGGGGCCTCAGCTCAGCGGCGGCCGAAGCAAACCCAAGGGCGAATGGAGCAGCGCACTGCAGGGAGCAAAATGAGTGGGGCAGTCACATCACGGCAGCCTGGGAGTACAGTGCAGGTCCTTGGCCTGGCTGGCCCTCTCGGCTCAGCAAATCACGCGGTCATTCCGCCAGGCAGACTTCCTTCAAGCCAGCCAGCCATGGCAGTCCCAAGGCGGTCACGGAGGGCAACGCCGAGGGCGTCCTTGGGAGATATTGGTCTTTGGGTGGCAACGGTAGATGAGCCATGGTGCTGCTTTTCCCCCCGAGTCGTGATGCTCGCTGTGCTAAACGGGACGAGAGGACAATTGGATTCTCCCATCAGCCGAGCTCCTCCGGCTGGGCTGCAAGGGTTTCGACAAAGCTCCTTAGAGGAAGAATGAAATCACACGAAATCCCACGCGTGAGGAGAAGCGGGTAGATGAATGAATGAGTACCCTATGTGCTTGCCAAACCTGCCAGGGTTTCCACTGGCACATCATGTGAGCTTGCTGTTTGCTTCGCCAGCCTGGTCAAGCAAGGGTCGGTGCTTACACCCAAATCCTCCCTTACGAATCACAGCCACGTTTTGAGTTCTGCTTCTAGCCTGAGGGACCGACGGCTTATCACGGCGATTTTTTAAGCCTTGAAGTTGCATAATCGTTTCTGAAGCTTCGATCGTTGTTAGACTCACTTTCGCATTCGTCTCCCAAAAGACGCTTCGTAAATACTGTTTCCTGTATCTAACATTCAAGTTAAGAGGTGTCAGACTGTTAGCGTACGTGCACGTTGTGATCAGTCTTACCGCAAATGGCGGAGCGCGGAGACGGCGAGACGAGAGCGAAGCGAATCCGACGGCCGGCGCTTCTTCCGGGCTTCATCCCGTGGAGCGCGCTCGAACTAGGACCCCGCAAGAAGCAAGTTACCGTCGAGGCGCCGCAAAAGCCGCTCGAGCTGACTCAGGCTCCTCAGCAAAAGCAGAGCCAGCCGCCGGGACAAGCCGCGAACGGCACTAAACGGTTAAAGAATCGCGATGAAGGGTCCGCCGCGAGTCGGCCCAATGACGAGTCTCTTCCGGATCATATTGGCCGTTCTACCGCCGGATATTCCGCAGGCATTCCCTATAGTAGTACCGAATCGGAGAAAGGTCACCGGATGACCACGTCTGAGTTTAGAAGTTTGAAGAATCCGCCAAACGGCGTTAAGGAGGGCGTCACGAAGACTGACGAGCACGAGAACGATAACTGTAACGGCAACGGTAACGGCGGTCAAGCCTGTGAGGCAATACCGGCTGGTTCGGGCGACTGGCGCGGCGGCTCTAAGCCGCCGATTAACGACGAGCTCCAGAAGAAGCGGAAGCGACCGAAAGTGAAGAGCATCGAAGCGGTCTTCATAGATCCTAATCGGCAGGCCGCGGGGATGGCGCTTCGGGAAAGCGCGGCGAGCGCGGAGCGGTCGTCGCAGCAGTCGAAGCCGCGCGGTAGAACAACGTCGAGCGTGGTTGAGGTAAGACGATATTTTTTTTTCTCTGTTGATAGCATGTGAACCCGTGGTGGTTACCAAGGGGTGATATCATCCTTGTGGCTGGATTACTACAAGTACTCACTTTCTGGAGATATAATACTATTCTTGTCAATCAGTTGTTCTTAAAGTGTTCAGTCCCTTGTGGTCCGTCTTCCACGTCAGTCACGTTCGTATGTCACTTGATAAGCCCCTATTCTTTTCAGGTCGACTAATAATCCGCCTATTTTGTTATGGGTGCCGATCAAGTCAATAATCTGCCGTCTGTCCTGATTTACCAGTCAAGATATAACTAGTTAATTCTGGCACTATCCATCCACCGTCTGTCCTTCTCTTCCCTTCGCCACGGTGCCTTGTTTACCGTTCTGGCTAGGCAGTTTCCGTTCTCGCTGTTCTCTTCTCATAATTCCTTTCACTATGCTGCTTTACCTCCCGACTGACTTGGCTATTCCGTGAATTCAGGCGTCAGGTAACTACAGCAACCGACAGACGCGACCGTCGATTCTCGCGCCGCTTCGTCGTAAGGCGGACTCTGTGTCTCGTTATAAGGCGGACTCGTTAGCGGGAGAGTCGAGCGGAAGCCACGCGCGCATGCTCGAGCGCACCGCCAGCGAAAGCACTCACGAGGGGAGCGGTATTAGGCATTCGACCTTACACCGACAACCCCTCGGTTTTACTAACACCCACCTGGCGAAACGAGACAGAAGCGGGGCCTGCTCGTTAGAAGCCGAGGGTCTGGAGGGACGGAATCGCCCTAGGGTTTCGAAATCGGAGAGCAGGCTTCAAGCGGGTGTGATAGTAGCGAACGGGAGTCACAAGGGTGTTGCAGAGGACAGTTTGCTGACGGATGATTGCAACAAGGATGACTGTAGCGAGGGGAGCGGTGGCGGGATGTCTTCCGAAGGTTGGGATGAAATATGCTCTGCTGTAAGCCACAAACGGTGTGCTACAGTGAAATCCGAAGAGGAAGAGTTACCTGCAATGTCTGCAACAAATATTTTTCATCCACAAGCTGTAGTTTGGGCCAAGGTATGTAAGTTAATTTCCGTTATCTATCAACTACTCTTTTTATTATCATTATGATTTCTTTGTTTTTTTTTAACTTAATGATAGTCAGTAATCCATATTTGTATTCCTCTGTGTTCGTTGAAGGTGGATGATAGCAAAGGGTGGTGGCCGGCAGTGGTGGAGGATTGGATGGATGTGCCTATAACGGTTCGGCTTTTACAGGAGCATGAGAGCGACCATGTAGTGAAGCTGCTATTGCGAGATGCTGGGGAGACGAAACACCTGTGCATGAAACCACAGTAAGTTGCAACCCCTCTACTCATTGGCAAATTATAAAGTGAAATACACTTGTATAACTTTCACTCGATGGCTAACTCGTCACTCCCTCTTTTTTTTCTGTTTACCTCGCTCCCATCATCCATTGACCCCTTTCCCCCCTAGTTTCCTCAAAGATTTTGCTTCAAATGTGGCTCAATTCAGAGGGCAAAGTGAGAGAGCAGCTTTCCAAGACGCCATAGAAAAGGGCCTTCGGTTAGCCTCGGAGGAGCGAACGAGGCTAAAGAACATTCAAGCTGCAGCAGCACAACTTCCGAACCTACGGCCCAGGACCAGGAGTCTGGGCGGGAAGAAACCTTCCGAAGCTGTGTGCAGCAACGGAACTGCCGCAGCTGCTGATTGCACTGGGAGTGGCAGAGCAATGGCAGGAGCAGGGGCACGAGTAGAAGCAGAAGCAGGGCCTTCAATGAATAGAGAAGAAATCACACCTCAGGTCTCTGCTGAAGGGGGTGCACCGTTAGGGAAATCAAGAAAATTTTTCAAATCCAGCTTACAGGACAAGGGGAAGGGGTCAAGGGAAGGACCTGGTCCGACTGGTGCTCTGTGTGGTGCAGGGGCCAATCAGCTGCTGCCACGTACCCCTCCATTGAAGCAGCAGGGGCGGAAGGTGGAGGAGGGAGGAACGGGTTTGGATGAGCGACGCAGGGACCAATCAGGAGGTGCCAGGTGTCCGCCTAAAGAGGTGCTGTGTAGGGCAACTAGGAGCAGCAGTAGCCATCCCCCTAAGGCTGAGGTAGTTGGTGTGGGGCAGAGTGAGAGGGGGAGTGAGCGAGTGAGTGAGAGGGAGAGTGAGAGAGTGCGAGTGAGTGAGAAGGAGAGTGAGCAGCAGCGGTTTGAGACGCCTCAGAAAAGGAGGGTGACTCGAGCAGGAAGCATGGCAGGGGTAGACGGCACAGCAGGAACAACAGGCAAATCAGGTGCAGGCAAAACAGGAACAGGCAGCAGAACAGGAGCAAAGCAGAATAGAGCGATGCCTGCTGAAGGGAGTCATGGAGTGGTTAAGGGCGAGGAAAGTGGAGAATTTGCTGGTAGACTAAGTCCCAACAGACGATTGGATGTGGATAGATTACTGGAAGCGACCACCTCAAGCCAGGTGAAAGCCCAGGTGGATTTTCAGGTGTCGGAGAAGTCTGGAAGGTCAGGCAAGGCGGGTGCAGGCTGTGAGAGGCAAACACCAGTTCGTGATAGCATGGTGGGTGCTGCTGATAAGGAGCTGGGTGAAGGTGATAAGGAGTTGAGTGCGGTTGATAAGCTAGGTGCCACTGGTAAGCCAGGTGCTGCTGATAAGGAGCTTACGAAGGAGACAAAGTTGGCGGCTGTAGCAGAGCGTGAGAATAGGGAATCAAGCAAGCCGGCTGTAGCAGAGCGTGTGGTGAGGGAGTCGACCAAGCTGCAGCATAGGTTGTGTGACGAGAGGAATGGGCCTGAAGGCAGACGTCATGGTGAAGCGGGGTGTAGTGCTGTGGAAAACGGTGGAGCAAAGCACAGTGCAAATTCAGCATCAGCCGCAGCAGCAGCAGCAGCAGCAGCAGTAGAAGGAAAATGCATGGATTCAGCTGCCGCAGTGGCGCTTCAAAGGGCGTGTGAGCGAGCAGAGCTTATGGGAATGCCACCACCCGCCTGCAACCTTACCCCCACGCCCCTCCTCACGCCACCATCCGCATCCTCATGTAGGGATAAATCGGCTAGGAGACAGCAGGCGGGGCGGGAGGGGGGGTGTGAGAAGTCTCAGGAGAGTGTTGTGTTGACGGTTGAGGGCCTGAGGGAGCAGCTTTGGCGGGAGGAGTGGGATGAGGAGGAGGTTGAGATGGGTTTGAGGGTAGAAGGTGGGGAGGAGAGCGGGGAGGGGAGAGAGGAGGGGCGAGAGGAGGGAAGAGAGGAGGACAGAGCAGATGAGGAAATTGGGCTGGAGGAGAAAGAAAAGAGGGCTCGGAAGAAGCGGGAGGGCGAGGAGGAGAAGAAGAAGGGAAGGAAGGAGGAGGAGAAGCAGGAAGGAAAGAGAAGGTTGAAAAAAGGGGTTGAGGGAGAGGGGTGTGAGGCAAGGGGAGGGGAGGAGAGCGATGGGACTTTGGATGAGTATGGGGATAGCTGCAAGCGGTGCCATGAAGTTGGCTTCATGCTGTGAGTGTCCCTGCCTCCCTGGGAACCTTTCAACTATGTAATGTGTGGCTATGACAAAGTGACTGTTGAGTGCCGTTGTAACGAGGTGACTCTTTGGGACAGTGCAAGCGCTGCCACGAGGTTGGCTTCATGCTGTGAGTGCCCCTGCCTCTGTCGAGAGATCTTGAAATTCAACTCATTTCCATGCATCTCGCATCGTCCCCATATCTTCCCCATGCACGTGCACTTACCTTTGTGCAGCTCACTGTGTTTCAACGTAACGTGTATGGGGAAGATGTGGGATGCATGGAAATGAGTTGAATGAGGAGGGGTTAAAAACATGCTGCGCTTTCTTCATCCGTCTGTGTGTGAATGACTCCCTTCCTCCTTGTTCCCCAAACCCCCATTCTCCCTCTCCCCCCCTCAGCTGCTCTGACGGCAAGGCATGCAACGCCACATACCACCTGCACTGCTTGGACCCTCCCCTGCCTCTGCTCCTCTGTACACTCAACTCTTCCTCTCCCACTCCTGTCTCCCTTCTCCCTCCCCTTCCCCCCGCTCCCCCTCAGTTGCTGTGACGGCAAGGCATGCAGCGCCACATACCACCTGCACTGCTTGGACCCTCCACTAGATGACGTCCCTCCAGGTCTCTGGTTCTGCCCGGACTGCACCCACAAGCGCTTCTCCCTGGGGGTGCATGCGGTGGTGAGGCGGGCAGTTGAATCCATCTGGGATGTCCGGGCAGCTTCTGGTGTTTTTTCTGCCCGGGATTCCACTGCTGCTGTTGCTACTGCCAGTGCTGCTGCTGCCGCTGCCTCCCTTCCACGTCTCTCCACTCCTCTCACCGCTGCTGCTGCTGCTGCTGCTACAGCCAGTGCCGCAGCTGGTGCCACAGCTGGTGCTACAGCCGGGAATGGCGCTGTATGGCATGAGCACCACCTTCAGAACGACAAACTACACCAGGGGCGCCACCAGTGCGACTATCCCACTACCCACAACGAGCACAACGAGCATCACTGTGGTGGTTGTCGCGGTGAGAGTGGTGAGAAAGTGGGCATGACTGCAGAAGCACCTGGGCCGGCAGGAACACTCAACGGGGTTGGGAGTGAGTGGGGTGTGCTGGGGGAATTGGAAGGGGAGTGTGAGTCTAGTGGGGCGGGGAGTGACAGTGAGAGTAGTGAGGAGGAGGATGAGATTCCGACCATGGCTGTGTGGGTGGATGAGGAGGAGAGGGGGGTGGAGGGAAGGGGGGAGGATGGGAGGGAGGAGGAAGGGAGGGGCAACGAGGATGAAGACGGGCAGCAGATTGTGCAAGGTCAGCAGCAGCAGGGGGAGAAGCAGCAGCAGGATAAGCAGCAGCAGCAGAAGATGAAGCAGCAGGAAAAGCAGAATCAGAAGCAGCAGCAGGACAAGCAGCAGAAGAAGCAGCTGCGTCAGGTGGGGAGGGAGGGGGGAGACAAGAGAGTGCTTGATCTACGGACAACCAGGTCGCACGATCAATGCGGTTCAGGGCGGTTGAGAGGTGTAGCAACAGGGGCAGGAGGGGCACCAGAGGCTTGTGGAGGAAAAGAGAATGGGAGTGCTGGGCCGATGAGAGGGAGAGGCGGAGGAGGGAGAGGAAGAGGTGGAGGAAGAGGAGGAGGGAGAGGAGGAGGAAGAGGAGGCGGGAGAGGAGCAGTAGCAGGAGGAGGGGGTGGTGGAAGAGTGTTGGAAGATAGAGTAGGGTTACCAGGAGTAGAAGGGGAAGGGGCACCCATATGTTTGTTAGAAGGAGCTGCTGACATTGCTCGGTGTCCTGGTGGGAGCAGTGGGGTCAGTCTTGGTGGCGGTGGTGATGGTGCTGCTGCTGGCGGTGGTATTGGGGCAGCTAAGTGCGAGTACTTTGTTAAGTGGAAGGGGTTGTCCCACGCGCACAACAGCTGGGTGGGCGAGGCATGGCTTGCAAGCAACGCTCCCAGACAGCTCGCGATCTTCAAAGCCCGGGCGGCCACAGTGGAGGTGAGATATGGGGGGAATGAGTGGCAGGTAGGTATGCCATGCTTTCCCTCTCCCCCTCTCCTCTCCCCGTTCGACCCTCACTCCTCAGTTACTGCAAGCAATCAAACCCCTTTCCTTGCTTCCATCCTTCAGCATCTCCCCTCCCGCGTCCCTCGCCCCAATCGCCAGCCCCCTCATTCCTCCCCATCCCCTCTCTTCAGTTCACCCCCACGTGGAACCCCCACTGGCCCAACCAAGGAAGCTCATAGCCAAGCGGGTCACTGGGCCACCTATAAATTATAACCTCCTTCCCCCCCTTTTCCCCCGTCTCCCTCCCTTCAGTTCACCCCCACGTGGAACCCCCATTGAGCCCAACCAAGGAAGCTCATAGCCAAGCGGGTCACCAGGCCACCTATAAGGCCGGGGCAGAGGCACAAGGTAAAACAGACCTCTTTTCCTCCTTATCCCCCACCCCCCACGCACAACTCCCATCCCCCCTTCAGTTCTGTCCCACCTGGAACCCCCAGTGGGCCCAACCAAGCAAGCTCATAGCCAAGCGGGTCACCAGGCCACCCATAAGACTGGGGAGTGAAGTTTTTATCATAACCTCCTTCTCTGCTTCCCTCACTTTCTCTCTTCTTCTACCACAGTTCGCGCCTACATGGAACCCCCACTGGGCCCAACCAAGAAAGCTCATTGCAAAGCGGGTCACCAGGCCACCTATAAGGCCGGGGGCGGGCCGGGGCAGAGGCAGGGGGTACCGACCCGACTGGGGGGTGGAGTTTTTTGTCCTGTGGCGGGGGCTGGGCTATGAACAGTGCACGTGGGAGCCGGCCAATGGGAGCGTGCTGCAGGGGGCTGCCGGGCGGCGTTTGTTGGCACGATTCTGGGAGAGGGAGCAGGGGGAGCAGGGAGGGGGGGTGGTGGAGGGGGGGAGGGACGGAAGGGGAGACGGAGCGGGGGTTTTGATGTCGCGACTGCACGCCCTGTGCGCCATACCGGACCGCTCTGCACCGCACTGGATCGCAGTGTCTGACGCCCCGATGCAGCAGCAGCTGGGGAACCTTAACGCCCTTAGGAGCCGGTGGAGGGACTGTGGTCCCTTGGGAGGTGGGGAGAGCAGTGGGGGGACGAGAGGGAGGAGGAAGAGCAGCAGGCAGCAAGGCACGAGCGACATGCTGCAAGGAGCTAGCTATGAGGTGAGCCTGGAAGGGGGGGGGGTGGGGTATTATTGAGGCGCCTCAAAATTCGGCAGCAAGGTTCAATCAACGTGCTGCAAGGAGCCAGTTATGAGGTGAGTCTGAGGGGGTGGAGATGTGGTGGGATGCCAGGGGAGCCTAAAAAATCCGAGAGGGAGGAGGGAGAGCAGCAGACAGAAAGGCACGATCAACATGCTGCAAGGAGAGAACTACGAGGTGCGTTTTTGGGGAGAGGAGGGGGGGGTCTGCCCTCCTGTGCACCCACGCTCGTGACTTCCATTCCCGTCACTTGACCTGCTCACCCTTCTCCCTCCTTCTCCCTCCTTCTTCCTCCTTCTCCCTTTTCCCCACTCACTCACCACCACCAGGCAAACCAGCTAGTGCTAGCCGCGTTTCTGTGCACGCAAGCTCGTGACTTCCAATGTCCCACAAATGCCACAGCCGCTACAGCTGCTGCGGCCAATGAAGCCACAGCAGCCGCTGCTGCCGCTGCCGCTACAGCTGCTACAGCCTCTGCAGCCGGTGCTGCAGGCGCTACAGCCGGACGCATGAGGCCGAGTCTGCTGGTGGTGCCTGGCTCGGCTGTAGCGGCGTGGGAGGGGTTGCTGGAGCAGCGAGCGCCTGAGCTGAGTGTGACTGTATTGAGGGGCAGTGCGGGGACTAGAGAGGTGATTAAACGGTGGGAGTTAAAAAAGGAAGTGGAGAGAGGGGGAGGGGGAGGGGGGGGGTGGAGGAGGAGGAGGAGGAGCAGGAGGAGGAGGAGGAGGAGTGAGGGGAATGGACGGTAATAGTGAGGGGGGTGGGGATGGAGAAGGGGAGGAGGGAAGCGTGGGAAAGATGAGGGTTAGGGCTGACGTCATCATCACCACACCTCTTGTCTTTTCCATGGTAAGTGCTTTTGATTCAAGGCATCTAAATGATTGCGGGGTAAGAGACGAATTTTGAGGCCCCTCAAGATGCGAGGAGGAAAGGGTGGGGAAGATGAGGGTCAGGGCTGACGTGGTCATCACTACTCCTCTTATCTTCTCCATGGTCAGTGCTTTTGATTTGAGGCGCCTCAAAAGGGGAGGAGGGAAGGGTGGGGAAGGCGAGGGGTAGGAGTGACATTCTGATTACTACTCCTCTTATCTTCTCCATGGTCAGTGCTTCTGATTTGAGGCGCCTCAATCATTGTGGGTCAAGAGAAGACTTTTGAGGCGCCTCAGAAAGGGAGGAGGGAAGGGTGCGGAAGATGAGGGTTAGGGCTGGCGTTGTCATCACCACACGTGGTAAGGGTTAGGAGTGACTTGTGTTCTCCATGGTGCGTGCTGATTGGCTGCCTGGTGTGGTTCTGAGTGTAATCGCTGCTAGGTTGTGGCAGGTGATATAGTGTACCATTGCAACAGGCAGACACCACTTGACTTTGGACTCCACTCAATGGGAGGTGGCTGCTGAGTCGACACAACAGTCGCTTTGTGGCATGTGTCTTACCAAAATGTCGAAGCAAAGAAGTTGGTGCGTTGAAGCACCTTCCGTCCGACACCACCGGGGTAGCGCAGCTAGCTCCTGGCACGGTGGAGTCTCAGACTTCACCACTTCATAGACTTATCAACACCTGGTTTTCTACCCTTTTTACCAGACTCATCTACAAGGCAACCCGCCCAGTACACTTAGCTGAAATTCTTGCGGAGACCCACGGCTTGCTGCGGTTCGAAACCTTTCTCTACGCCGCAGCTAGCTCCTGGCACGGTGGAGTCTCAGACTTCGTCAACACTTCATGCGCCTAACTAACACCATCCGCGTCACCACTCCCTCTGCACGCCACCACAGGCGTGTCCTTACCTTGAGGGGGTGACATAGGGCGCCTTATCAAGGTGACTTTTGAGTCGACTCAAAAGTCATAGGGCGCCATATCAGTGGACGGCAGCACATGTTCAGTCTTACTCCCTCACCGTCAACTTCCACCATCCATCCCCCACCACCTCATCACCTCCCGCCAACATCCATCCACCACCACAGGCGTGTCCTAACCTTAGGCATGTCCCCGTGCCATTCCTCACAGACTGTACCATCCCCCACCGCAGGAGCGCCCTTACCTCGTGGAGGTGGCTTGGGGCGCCGTAGCAGCGGATGGCAGCACGTACGTCCTTAGGCATATCCCCGTGCCATTCCTCACAGACTGTACCATCCCCCACCGCAGGAGCGCCCTTACCTCGTGGAGGTGGCTTGGGGCGCCGTAGCAGCGGATGGCAGCACGTACGTCCTTAGGCATATCCCCGTGCCATTCCTCACAGACTGTACCATCCCCCACCGCAGGAGCGCCCTTACCTCGTGGAGGTGGCTTGGGGCGCCGTAGCAGCGGATGGCAGCACGTACGTCCTTAGGCATATCCCCGTGCCATTCCTCACAGACTGTACCATCCCCCACCGCAGGAGCGCCCTTACCTCGTGGAGGTGGCTTGGGGCGCCGTAGCAGCGGATGGCAGCACGTACGTCCTTAGGCATATCCCCGTGCCATTCCTCACAGACTGTACCATCCCCCACCACAGGAGCTCTCGCTCATACCTTGAGGACGTGGCGTGGGATGGCATAGCAGCAGACAGAACCAAACCTCATGGGCAGGGAGCCTCATAGAGAGCCATGGGATGCGATTCTGACGTGGAATCTTGTTCGTCAATCTCCAAGTGCCTGACACTATCCCCCACCACAGGAGCGCTCATACCTCGAGGAGGTGGCGTGGGGCGCCATAGCAGCGGACGGCAGCACGCAGCTGTGGTCGGCGCACGAGGCCAGTGCCGCCCGCTCCATGGGGTGGCCGCACTCCATCTTTTCCCTGCACGCCTGCCTACGCGTCCTGCTTGCCCCACACGAGCCCCAGGTGAGAGATGGGAGATTCGGCAATTTACATTTGCCATTTGAGGTGGGAGATTTGACACTCTTTTGTTATTTGAGATGTGATGCACTTCTGATTTCACATGTGACAATAGATATTTGAGGTAGTCTGACGTCGTCAATGGGATCTCCCCCTACATTGCCTGTGCCTAGTGCTCTGCAAGGCTGTTGCACTTATTGGTGCCCTGCATGATGTAAAGCATGAATGGCGTGGGTTCACTTCATCCATTGTGTGCTTTGGGGGATTTATGCTTTTCTTCTTCTTCGTAGTCAGCCCCATCCCCGCCTAATGGCCATCGAGTTTATTCGGCTGCTTCTGACTCTCTGTTCCTCCTGTGTCTTTATTGGCGCAGGCACACGACTGGGATGCTGGGGACGTGACCATCATGACAGTTGCCCCAGCTCATTGACCATCAATGAATATTCCCATAAGGCACAATACAGTGTACCAAGCTAAATAGGTGTGTACAAATCGCATACTAGGGAGGATATGGAGAGGGATGAGGCATTTAGGGTTTTGAAAGGAAGACTGGTTTGAAGGCAAGTTGAAGTGTATTACCAAGGTTTATAAATCAGTATCTGATATCGCATTCCTAGCGCTGTACAAGTTCTTGGGTGTATGTATATACTGTTATTGAACATTGGCAATTCGCACTGTTGAGGTCCACGTGGATGTTTCAGGACCACGCGGACGTATCCGAGATATGCCTTTTTTACTTGAAATCCGGAAAAGTGCTCAGCGCTGGGCAATCCACGCTGTCAAAATTGTTCCGCTTGCTGACGCTTTTTCTAAAGATATTTCGATGTAGATTCACACGCTAGCCACTCGCACACAATCGCTCAGACGCGCCGCTCGATGCATGGCCGATAGCGATTGACAATCAGCCAAAAGTCGTTACTCCTAAGTTGATCTCACCGTTTAAAGCAGAAAGCACATTTCCATCGACGGTAGTGGTCATTTGTGTCACGTGACTCACGGTGGGCAGGGTTGCAAAAATCGGATTTTCCTTAATGACCTGGCACACGTGGATATCCGCCAGGTCGAACAACAACACCAAAGGTGCAATCGGGGCAGCTGAAGCATGGCAAAATCTAGGTACATCACTGGTCAGTTGGGACGCTTTGGAGCTTTTGTTCAAAAAGCAACAATTACGGGCAGCAGGGATGAAACCAAATCCTTCAGAACAGTCACCGTGTCCACACGCAAACCATTCCCGCCAACCAACCAATCCCTAGAGCCATTTCGTGCACTTGCCTTGGCATTGAGCTTGTCGCGCTGCTCCTCCGCTGACAGTCTCCGCGGAAGTAGGCATCGCCTTTGGTCACCCCTCGGCGGTTTGGCGGCAGACTGGCAGCCACCCAGGCTACGCAGGCAAGGGAAGGATTCCCCGCTGCTCTCCGCTCTGCCAGTGGTGGTGGGGAAATATCTCAGCCTTGGGGTTTGTTGGAGCAGCCAGCGGACGGGAAAAACCAACCAGTGCTGACCGGAACTGGGCTTCCGCGCGCAACTCTGTCCCCACAGCTTCCCCTTCCCCCCAACCTTGTCTTCCCCCATGCCTCCCCGTTGCGCCAGACTGCCATACCAGAACAGGAACAGACTGCCTGCCTACCTCCCAGGGCCCAGGCTCCTCCCACACATCCCTCTCACACTCACGCAGTTTGCTCCCTTCATCCTCGCTCACGGCAGCTTCATTCAACCACACTCCTCACGTGCATCTGTTTATCTCCTCCATTCCTCTCCGTCCACCGAAGGCTGCGAGAGTGGCGAGGAAACACTGGCTACCGAGCGAAGCCTGGGCTCTGTGTGCTTGTTCTTTCTGGGAGGCTTAGGGTTGTCTTGTGAACGGCTGATTTCGTGATACCGAGTGCGTACTTGAGCTTCGTCTGTCAGGTCATTCCATACTTTCGACAATATACTAGTTATTCGCGAAACGGTCTTTGCGGAGACTAGAACCTGCCGTCGTTCACAATTTAAGACACAGCGTTTATCAATCGTATCAAGTCCGTAATTAGGTAGAGAACGCGACACGAAATCTTTCGGGTTCGATTTATGGTCGGATCCGATTTATGGATGGCGACGCCATGACCTCGTCGCTAGCCCGGTCACCGCCTCCCATGCAAGTATCCCGTCGCTACACTCCGTCCCCGTTTGTACCCCGTAATCCTGGCTTTCCGAGTGCGTTATCCGACGCTAGAGAATCATCTGAAAGCCATCCGACCTCTTTTGACAGGAGTTACGTCACTCCCATAAACGCGACAACTGGTCGAACCCCCATTCACGCGATAGCAAGTCGAGCCGCCTCGTTGCATCAGAATTCGCGATCGTCGTTGGAGCAACTGGTTGCACCGCGACCTAGAACCGAGCAGAACAAGTTTGGGGGAAACGGGACCGTCGATTTTGCAGATCCGACGGCGCAGCGCGCTCCTGTGAATAGCGGAGGTGTTTCTGGAAGCTCAAGACCTTTTGTGTACAGTAGAGCTGACGTTAGTCGTAGCGAGAATCAACCTAGTAACGCTGCAGAAGCAAGTATGGAGTACGGCCGGGACTACGATAGGCAGCGAGGCGAAGGATTACGATACGCGGAGCGAGGAGAGTATTCGGAGCAAGGAGGGTTACCATACTCGGTGCACGAGTATTCACAGCGTTTCGCCAACGCCTCGACGTCGCAAGCGCTCGTTTTAGCGGAAGGGACTTCGTTTCTACCGCGTTTTTCTAACGATGGGGACTCAGGCGAGGGCTCCCGTCCCGTTGTAAGCCCGAATACGAGGTTCGCCCGTCATGTGGTTGAGACGCTATCGCGTTCGATCGAAGACGACGCGGGGGAAGGGGATGCTGGTTGTCCGTTGGCGGAAGGGCAGCGATGGGTGAATGACGGGGGGCCCGCAGGGGACGCATACGGGGAGGAGCAGGGGGGGGAAGAGGACGGAGCGCCGCGCGGTAACTGGGATCGATCTGCTCTGCAACGGGAAGGCAGGGGGGGAAGCTCGCAGGGGCCGTGGGGCTCACAGGAGGTCCGCTTTCCGCCGCAAGGGATGCAAGGGCGTGACACATCTCAATTTCAGGGGCGAGGCGAGCGCGCCGGCGTACGCGGGAGCGACGGCGGGGGAAACCAGCGCATGATTGCGGAAGGCGGCGCACGCGAGATGCTAGATCCCCGCTTTGGTTCAAACTTACCGGTAGAGTCGGACCGGCAGCCCTCGCGCGGCCTTTCCGTTAGAGTTGACGGCCTTCGCGAAGGAGCCGTCGGGGGAGGTTATGCGGAGGCGGGCGGAGACGCAAGGGACGCGGAAACTGGAGGGGGAAACTTCCCCGCGCCGAAGGCGGGCGCGGAGCGGAGCAGGCGGAACCTGACGGCGGTTGACGGTGCAGTTCCTGTTTTCGCTGATGGGCAGCCACAGCGAAACGGAGCGTGGGTTAACGGGCTCGAAAAAATGCGTTCGGCGCCTGCACTTCCCGACGGGGTGTATGACGGTAGCGGGAACGCTTTTAACGGGGACGAGGGCAGCCCGTTGGATTCAGCACACGGAGCTGCGCCCGGCGGGATGGACGGCGATGGACCCGCCGCGTTTGGCGCTGCTATGGCTGCTGAAAGGAGATCCGCGCCGTCCTACGGATGCCCTAGAGGCGTGCTGGGTGCTCGATCGTCCGTCTTCGCTTCCCTCCCCTCCTCCTCCTCCGGTTTTGGAGCCCTTCCCTCTGATATGCTGTCACCGTTTCCCTCCAGCTTGCCCGCCGCGTTGTCGCGTCCCCCTGGGAAACGCGCGGAGTTGGAGGGCGCGGGCGCGGACGCGCGGGGGATTTCTCCGCGGAGTGGCGCATTCACCGGACGCTCGAGCGGGAACGAGTGGGAAGAGGCGGCTTTGCGCGGAGCGGAAGAGGAAACGGTGGAAGCAGGGTTGCGGCGCCTGCGGGAGAAGGCGGTAGGCGGAGAACGTGCGCTGTTCGCCCGTCCGAGAGATCGCGAGCCGGCGGTTGGGCGGGGGAATATCGACCGAGAGACGGCAGCGGCGGCAGGAGGCGGAGGAAGCAGCAAAGGAAGGTTTTTTTTTGGAAGGGCAGGAATGGCAGTAACGGAGAAGGGCAAGGTACAGAACGGTACTGCTTGGGAAACAGCAGGGTGTGATTATGAAGCGGAGGTTGAGGCAGAGACAGGGATGGGTGGGGAGCGGATGGGATGGGAGGAAGGGTTGCAGAGCGGGGCGTGGAGGTCTGAGCGAGAGTACGAGCACCAGCGGGCGCGGCAGCAGGCACAGCAGAAGCAGTTGCGGCGGCAGGAGCAGCAGCAGCAGGAGCAGCGGGAGCAGGAGGGGAGAACGATAGAGCAAACGGAAGCTGCGTTTGGCGAAAAGGATCGCTGGGGTAAACGACAGGCTTGGAGTTGTGACCCGGTTACTGCAGGCCCATCAACGTCAGGCGTGGAGGCATACGGCGAGGAGATGGAGAGGGGGGACGACAGGTGGGGTAAACGACCGTCCCGCGCGTCTCTAGATTCAGAGGAGCTGAGCGTTGGAGAGAGGGGGAGAATGAGGGACATGAGAGCACGCAGAGCAGCAGCAGCAGCGGCGGCGGCGGCTGCGGCGGCGGCAGGTGCAGCGGGTATGGATCATCTGGGTCGCATGGGGAGTGGGGCGGCCTGTTTGGAGGAGGATGTGCCAGGGGTGGGTGGTCTTGGTAGTCTTGGCATGGACTTTATGGGTGCGGAGGCGATGGGTGGTGCAGGTGGGGCGGTGGGCATGGGAAGAAGCCCGAGAGAATATGGCGTGCAGGCGGGGAGAAAAAGGAGCATGTCGCCCGGAGGGAGGAGTGAGAGGAGTGGGTGGAGCGGGCGCAGTGGGAAGAGTGGGAGGAGTGGAAGGAGCGGGAGGAGTGGGAGGGAGCATTGGCCACAGCCAAAGCATGTTGCTGTAAAGAGGAGGAAAAATGGCGAGAGCAGAAACAGTGGCGACCCTCAGCAGCAGCAGCAGCAGCAGCAGTCGCCACTCTGCACGCCTGAAACGATGCAAGCCTTTATGGCTTTCCAGGCTTTCATGAGCCAACAGCAGCAGCAGCAGCAGCAGGAAGGAGGGCAGCAGGGTTCGTTCGCGCTTCCTCCCGTGGCCCCTGAGTCCATACATGCGTTTCTGGCCTTTCAAAGCTTCATGGGCCAGCAGCAGTCACAATCGCAACAGCGGAACGAGCAGGAGCAAGACGAGCAGGAGGAGCGGGATGAGCGGGATGAGCCGCAGCGGCAGCAGAGGCAACAGCAGAGGGGGCAGCAGAGGGAGGTGTTCGGTCGCCCACCTCTACCCGTCCATCAGCGACGCCCCTCCAAGTCTCCTGAACTCGTCACTCAACGCACCACCTCTGCTTCACGTTCTTCCGCCCCCCGCTCCCCCCACTCCTCCGCCCCTCGCTCCCCGCTCTCGTCCGCCCCCCGCTCCCCCCACTCCTCCGCCCCGCGCTCACCCCTTCCCCACACGTCCCCCGCACTCCGAACCTCCTCCCCCACCCCCCGCATGCCGTCCCGCTCTATCTCCCCCGCCCCCTCCGCCGCCCCTAGCAGCGCTTCCCCCTCCCCCCGCCCCCTGGCGCTCTTTGAGCGCATCACCCGCCGCCGCCAGTCTAGCCCCAGTGGCTCGCGCCCCCCGTCCGCCAATAGCAGGCCCCCTAAGTTCCCCCCGCGCGCCACCCCTCCCGCTGCTTATAGCGGAGAGGGCGATGGTAGGGATTATAACGCGTATGCCCAGGCAGGAGGGAGGGGAGGGGGTAGCCGAGTGGGGAGTGAGGGGGGGAGTATGGGGGGGGTGAGGGAAAGTGGTTATGAAGGATCTGATTATAGGGAGGGGAGTAGAGGGAGCGTGAGGGAGAAGGGATGGGGCGTGGGCGGGAAGGAAAAGCGGCAGGGGATGAGGAGGGAAGAAGCAGAGGTTAGTGACTGGGGGAGGAGTAGTGATAGGGGGAGGGCGAGTGAGTGTGAGAGGGAGAGGGAGAGTGAGGAGGAGGTGCTGTTGAGAATGCAGAGGCTGGAACAGGAAATCAGGAGTGGTCATCAGCAGGAACAGCAGCGCCAGCAGCAGCAGCAGGAGCAACAGCTGCAATCGCAGCAGGAGCAGCGACAGCAGCAGCAGCAGCAGCACCAGCGTTCCCCCACCCCTCCATCAAGCCCCTTCTCCACCACGCCAAACCCCTTCTCCACCATGCCAAACCCCTTCTCAGCACCTCTCCCAACCAACAACACCTTCCCCTCCTTCGCACCGACCTTCCCTCAAGGCCTGTCCCATGCCCCAGCCGTTTCTGCCGTCTCTGCTGCCATCGCTGCCACTCCGAATGCCCCTGCGCCTGGCGCGCAGTTGCCAGGTCTTCTCACCAACATAAATACCACTAGCATAAATCCCTCTAGCGTGAACCCGACTGGCATGAACCCCACCTCTCCCTCCCCTCCTCCTCACTTCTTCAGCACCTCGCCGTTCCAGTCCCTAGCTTCCCCAGCCTTCCCCAACCAGGCCCTCCCGAACCCCCTTCTCTCGAACCAGTTCCTGCCGAACCAGCTCCTTCCAAACCAAGTCCTCGCGAACCAGCTCTTCCCGAACCAACTCCCAGCAGGCTCCCAAAACCCAGTCGTATCCATGCCTCTTGCCCCGCCCACTCTCTCAATCCCTCTCTTCCACCCTCTCTCAGGGCCCTCTATGCACCTCAGAGCATTAGTAGGCCTTCAGGCAGAGTCCCAACAGAGCAACTCCGTCTCTCTGCCTGTTGGCGGGGCTTCTTTAGGGATTTCCCCGGCTGGAGGGGGGTTTTTCTGTGGTGCCCCTGGCACGGCGGCGGCTGGAGGGTGTTTAGCTGGTGCTGCTGCAGGGATGGCGTCTGGGGCGCTGGGGCTTGCGGGAACAGGTGCTGGGGTTGCTGCAACTGCAGCGGGGATGCTGGGGTGTGGAGCTATGGGTGCTGCAGGGTCGGGTGCGGTGCTGATGAGTGCGCAGGTTTCCCCGCAGATGGCTCTGCTGCAGAAGTATCAACAGTACCAGCAGCAGCTGCTGCTGCTGCAGCAGCAGCTGCTGCTGCAGCAGCAGGGGAGGCAGGGGCAGCAGGGGCAGGGGCAGGGGCTAGGGCAGGCGCAGGGTGCTAGAGGCAGTGGGCAGGAGGGGAATGGTGGGTCTGGCAAGAGAAGTGGTCAGATGGATGAGGAGTGCCGTTTGGAGGGCCGTGAGAGAGGAGAAGAGAGGCTTGATGTGGGTGGGAGAGGAAGGGAGGAGGGGAGGGGTGTGAGTGAGGGTGAGAGGAGAAGAGGGGTTGATGTGGGTGGTGGTGGTGGTGATGATGGGGGTAGCGAGGAGAATGGAGAGGAGGAAAGGGAGGAGGAGGAGGAGGATGGGTGGACGAGAGATTTGTCACGGAGCAGAGGCAGGAGTTGGGAGAGTGAGAGTGAGAGCGAGAGCGAGAGTGAGGGAGGGAGTTCAGTGAATAGGCTATCGAGTAGACTAGAGGGGAGGAGGAAGAAGAGGAGGAGAAGGAGAAGGGAGGAGGAGGAAGATTATGAAGAGGATGAGGGTGATGAAAACGAGGGGGACAGTAGGGAGGTATCAGAGCGAGAGGAAGAGCGGCTGAGGAAAAAGGAGGCTGAGGTTCGGAGGCTTATCCAAGAAACGAGCGTTTTGCAGCAGATGGCGCAGGCACAGGTTCGGGTGCAAGCTGAGGTGCAGGTTCGGGCCCAGGCTATGGCACAGGCTCAGATGCAGCAGGCTCGGGTGGTGCAGGCTCGGGTGCAGGCAGCGGCAGCAGCACAGGCACAGATGCTTGCAGCTTCCCAAGCCTCCCTGCTGGCTCAGGCTCGGGGGATGGGTTCGCCTATGTGTAATCTGATGGGGTTGGGGCAGCTGAACGGGCAGCTGAACGGGCAGATGAACGGGCAGTTGACCGGGCAGCTGAACGGTCTGCGAGGCGGGATGAGTCCTCCTCCCATGAGCTTCCAGGGCTCCTTGGGCTCGTTATTGAGCCAGGCCAATTCTCTCAACCCCACCGCTCTCAACCCCTCAGCACTGAACCTTTCTGCTCTGAACCCCTCTGCGCTGCACGCGTTATCTGCCAACCCTGCTGCCCTGGCCCTCTCAGGATTCAACGCCTCTTCATTGAACCCTTCGTCCTTCAATGCCTCTTCCTTCAACGCCTCATCGTTCAACAACTCTTCCTTTTCCGGTTCGCCTCTCCGCCCCTCCTCCCCCTTCCATCCATCCTCCCCCTTCCACCCGTCCTCCCCATTCAACCCCCCTGGGAGCTCCCTGCTAGGCAATCCCCCCAGTAGTTCCCTCAACAGCAATCCTCCTACCAGCTCTATGCTCGGTAACCCCCCCACCAGCTCTATTAACGGTAACCCTCCCACCAGCTCCCAGCATTTCAGTGCCTCTCACGAGGGGAACACGGGCAATGATTTTGATGCTTTTCGGGCAGCTTTTGAGGCCTCTCAGAGGAATGCGGGCAGCGGGCCGGAACCTTTTCCTCCTCTCCAGTCTCCTCAAGCTTTCCAGGCCTTTCAGTCCTTTCAGTCTCAAAGAAATGCTTCAGAGGGCAATACGGGCAGTGGCGTTCAGGGTCCGAATGGTTTTCAGTCGATGCAGGCGTGTCAGTCGTCTCAAAACAATGCTTCGGACGGCAATACAGGGAGTGGAGCTGATGCTTTCAAGTCCTTCCAAGCTTTCCAAGCTTTTCAGGCATCTCAGGGTTTCCAGTCAGCACAAGGAAATGGGGGGAGTGTTGCCCCTCCTGCCGCTGCAGCTGCTTTGGCGTGTGGATTGGGCGAGGGGTTGAGAGGGGTGAGGATGGGTGGGGAACGGGGTGGTGCGGTTGGTGCTGGTGCTGGAGAGGCGGAGGAAGAGGAGGAGAGAGAGGAAGAGGGGGAGAGAGGAGAAGAGGAGGAGAGGGAGGGGAAGGAGGCATTTCAAGGAGCGGGGCAGGGAGGGGGGCACGAAGGCGTGCAGGGAAGGAGGCATGGAGAGGGGCAGGGAGGAGAGTGTGAGGAGGCAGTGGGATGGCAGGGCATGCAGTTAGTCGTGCACTCTGGGAGCATGCCACTCCGATATGGAGGAGGGGGGCGGGTTTTCTCAGGCAATGGGGGAGAGGGTGAGGGGGGAAGGGATGATGAGGGAAGGGGTGACGATGGAGGGGGTGATGGGGGAGAGGAAACAGGGCAATACAGTATGCGAAGCCCAGGGGAATACCTTAGGGCCCGGCAGCAGCAGCAACAGCAGCAGCAGCGTCCTTCCCTTCCATCCCACCCGCAGCAAAAGGCTCCTTCGCCTACGTGCCCCCCCCTCTCCTCCCCATCTCCCACTCGAAACTCGCCCCTTCCCTCCCCTCACTGCTCTCCCCTTCCCTCCCCTCACCGCTCTCCCCTTCCCTCCCCTCACCGCTCTCCCCTTCCCTCCCCTCACCGCTCGCCCTTTCCCTCTCCTCACCCCTCTCCCCTTCCTCAGTTTAAGTCGAATCAACAATTCGCTCGTCCCTCCTCTCCCCTTCCCACTCCTCCTCCTCCTCCCCACACGCAGTCTCGTTTTGACATGTCTCCTCCTCCCCACAACCGTTCCTGCACTCCCCCACTCTCCCGCCCACCCACCCCTCCTCCTGCTTCTTCCATCCCCACCGCATTTGAGACGTCTCAAAAGACACTCCCAGTCTCACGCCCACCCACCCCTCCTGCTCCTTGCATTCCCAACGCTCTATCCACTCCTCCTTCCCCTCACGTCCCTTCTGCCCCCCGCCCTTCGCCTTCCTCCGCCAATCATGCCTCTCCCAACCTCCCTCCCCCCAGCCTATCTCCCACAAACCTCCCTCCGAGCGTCCCTTACCCCTCCCCTACTCGTAGCCCTCTCAACACCCCTACACGCCCACCCTTCACAACTCAACCTCGGCCCCTGTCTGCCACTCATGCTACCAACAATAGGAACACTGATAACACTGTTCATACTGGTAACACGGGTAACACTGGTAACACAGGTGACACGGGTGACAACGAAATGTGCATAGAGCCCCCCTCCCCCCCTGGCTCGTCCGACCTTCCCGTTTCCTCCACCCGATCCGCCCACTCGGTTGGGAACGAGGATGGTAGCTTCGGGTGGCACACCGCGCCAGGCTCGGGCACACCGAACCAAGCCCCGAACCAGAATACAAGGAGGTATGGGCAGGTGAACCAGCTGAGTCTGGACGCGTCCAGGAGCTCTGGGCATTCGGTTGGGACGATCAAAGCAGCCTCGGTTTCAGGTTCGGGCAACCAAGGCCCAGCATTCGGTTCGGCGCCAGGCTCGGGCCAAGGCTTGGGAAGCAGCCCCAGGCCTGGCTTGGGGTCGCCCATGCCTGGGGGCTCCCCTAGAGTCCCTCGAGGGTTTGGGTCCCTGGTGATGGGGGGACTGGCAGGAGGAGGAGGAGCAGGAGTAGGAGCAGGAGGAGGAGGAGGGGTAGGGGTTAAAGCAGGAGGAGCAGCAGGAGCAGGAGGAGCGGGTGCAGCAGGGGGAGGTGCGACAGCGGGAGGTGCGACAGGGAAATATGTAACAGGGGGTGGTGCGGCAGGGGGGGTTGCAGGAGCTACTGGTGTGCCCAGGAGGCAAAGATTCACTCCCCCTCCTCTTCCCGCCCACTCCTTCGCCTCTGCTGCTTCCTCTCCCCTCCCCAGCCCCACTGCTCCTCCTTCCAGTCCCATCAAACCCTCTGCTGCCGCCGATCCAGCCACCCCCACACCCAGTGCTACCGCACCCAACGCCTCCAGTTCCAGACCCTCTACTCCCACCATCCCTACTGCTCCAGCCCCTAGTCCCAGACCCCCCACTCCCACCGCCCCCACTGCCTCCTCCCCTGCTCCCACTGCCCCCACTCCCACCGTTCCCACTCCCACCGCCCCCACTCCCACCGCTCCCACTCCCACCCTCCCCAGTCCCACCGTCCCCAGCAGCAGCAGCAGCAGGCAGCGGCTACTCCAAGACTACCTCCCGCGGCGGTGGCAGCTAGTGTCGCGGCTTGGGGGGCGGCTGAGGCTGGTGGTTGACCGAGGCACAGGGCAGCAGCTGGTGGTGCAGCGAGTGCACGTGGGGGGGAGGGGCGGGGGCGTGGGGGAGGGAGGGGCGCAGGGAGAGAGAGGTGTGGCGGGGCAGTCAGGGCAGTCGGAGAGAGAGCGGCAGATGCACCAACGGGTTGCATTGCTGCTGAAGCTCAAGTGAGTGATTGGTTGGAAAGAAGGAATTCTCTTTCGGGTTTTGAGAACGAGTTGAAGCTCAAGTGAGAGCTCATTTTCCCACCAGAGAGCATTCTCTGAAAGTTTTGAGAAGTCCAAGTGCCATCCGCACCACTGTGCTCTTTCCTCCCTCCTTTGTCCGTTCCTTACCCTGTCCCCTGCTTGCCCCGCCCTCCTGGCCCCCCTTCCCCAGGCACGAGAACATTGTGCCATGTGTGGGGGCCATTCGCACCACCGCCCCCTCCCCCGCCACGGGCAGCAGCAACGCAAGCGCCAGCCACAACAACAACAGCATGAGCGGCACCGGCAAAGGCGGCGGCATTCACCTGCTGTTTGCGGCGTTTGACTACGTGCCCGTGCCGTCGCTCTCCCACCAGCTCACTGAGTGCGGCCCCATGCCTGAAGAGACCCTCGCCTTCTGCCTCCGCCAGGTGAGCAACCCATTAGGTGCTCTTATGTTACTAAATAACTTCTGAGAATTCTCTCAAAAGTGATTCAAATACGAGTGATTGTTCCTATGGAAATGCGGTCAAGGGTGCTTGGTTGCTTTCGTGTTTGTAAATATGAGTGAGCTTTTTGGAAAAAGGCTGGAGATGTGCGCTTGCGTGCTTGCTTGCACCTTCTGCCCCCATCAGTTGGTGGAGGCATTAACAGTGTTCCACTCTCTAGGCATCCCGCACGGCCGCGTGCGCACCAGCAGCGTGTTCGTTCATTCCTGACATGACAATGGCCACTCAACTCAAGAATGAACGCCCATGCTCTCTCTCCCTCTGTCCCTGCCAGGTGGTTGAGGCACTAACAGCGTTCCACTCCCTCGGCATCCCGCACGGCCGCGTGCGCACCAGCAGCGTGTTTGTTCCCGACGATGGCGTTGTGAAGCTGGCTGGGACCTCGTTCCTGGATGGAGAAGGGGAGGGAGGGGAGGGAGGGGAGGAGGGACGGGAGGAGGGAGGGGAGGGGGGAGCGGATGGAGGGGAGGGGAAGGGAGGAAGCAAGGTGCCGTGGTGTTCGCCTGAGGAAATCAGAAAGGTGAGGGTTCTTCTGCTGCTGCTCTTTTGCTGCTGCTCTTCTGCTGCTGCTCTTCTGCTGCTGTAGTGCTCTTGTGCTGCTGCTCCGCTATTGCTTGTTACCCGCATCTCACGTCCCACCGCCTTCCCCCCTTCCCCCGTCCCCTGCCCCCTGTCCCCTACCCCTTGTCCCCAACCCCTCCCCCTCTTTTCCCTCGTCTATTCCCTCAATACCCCGTTTCCCAAGCAGGAGACGGTGGGAGCGGCAGCAGACGTGTGGGCGGTGGGGTGTCTAGCAGTGCACATGGCAACGGGAGCGCTACCATGGGCGCAAGTGGGGGACGAGGACCAAGTGCGGCTCTTCATTGCTCACAGCAGAGCACTGCCGGACCTGCCGCCCGATTCCTCGCCGCAGCTCATTGATTTTGTCGCGACCTGTTTGGACCGGGATCCGTCCCGCCGCCCGGCAGCCGCCCGGCTCGTTGACCATCCTTTTCTAGCAGCATGCTAGCAAAACTCTTTATTGCTTATGTTTTGTTTGGTTGAAGGTGTTTGTTTTCTCTGCAGTGCAAAGCAGGGTCGAAGTACTGGTAGCCCTAAAAATGTTGGGGAAAGGGGAGGAGTAGCTGACTGGTTGCTCGCCACCTCCTTGTACAGCAGCTTTCTAGTGATTAGAATTACGAAGCAAAATGTAAATGGCTTCGTGTTATTGTCAAGAATAGAACTAGGAATGAATGATTGAACTAGGCAAGAGGTGAGTACAAGTACGGGAAACCTAACCCTAAAGTGTTGTACTCACTAAGGAGTGACCCTACTGTAGCCTAGAGATACAATTGTAATCTGACACACCCCCATAGGCAAAGTAGGGGACAGCAAACACAACAAGCGGTCACAAGACCAGTCTGCAGAAGAGAACGCAGCTTAGGGTGTCAGAATCCCAACCACTAGACCATTGGGATAAAAGGGCTTGTTAAGTAGCGGGTCAGTGCGCCCATAACCCCCCCAGGACAAGTAGCATGTAACCCTTCCCTAGGATCAATCGGGAATCACCAGTGGACCTCTGACACCCCCCCGCACTGGGATACCCGAAGTGCACACACTGGGATTCGAACCCGAGACCTTCGCTCTGATACCATGTCAGAATCCCAACCACTAGACCATTGGGATAAAAGGGCTTGTTAAGTAGCGGGTCAGTGCGCCCATAATCCCCCCAGGACAAGTAGCATGTAACCCTTCCCTAGGATCAATCGGGGATCACCAGTGGACCTCTGACACCCCCCCGCACTGGGATGCCCGAAGTGCACACACTGGGATTCGAACCCGAGACCTTCGCTCTGATACCATGTCAGAATCCCAACCACTAGACCATTGAGATAAAAGGGCTTGTTAAGTAGCGGATCAGTGCGCCCATAACCCCCCCAGGACAAGTAGCATGTAACCCTTCCCTAGGATCAATCGGGGATCACCAGTGGACCTCTGACACCCCCCCCGCACTGGGATGCCCGAAGTGCACACACTGGGATTCGAACCCGAGACCTTCGCTCTGATACCATGTCAGAATCCCAACCACTAGACCATTGGGATAAAAGGGCTTGTTAAGTAGCGGGTCAGTGCGCCCATAATCCCCCCAGGACAAGTAGCATGTAACCCTTCCCTAGGATCAATCGGGGATCACCAGTGGACCTCTGACACCCCCCCGCACTGGGATGCCCGAAGTGCACACACTGGGATTCGAACCCGAGACCTTCGCTCTGATACCATGTCAGAATCCCAACCACTAGACCATTGGGATAAAAGGGCTTGTTAAGTAGCGGGTCAGTGCGCCCATAATCCCCCCAGGACAAGTAGCATGTAACCCTTCCCTAGGATCAATCGGGGATCACCAGTGGACCTCTGACACCCCCCCCGCACTGGGATGCCCGAAGTGCACACACTGGGATTCGAACCCGAGACCTTCGCTCTGATACCATGTCAGAATCCCAACCACTAGACCATTGGGATAAAAGGGCTTGTTAAGTAGCGGATCAGTGCGCCCATAACCCCCCCAGGACAAGTAGCATGTAACCCTTCCCTAGGATCAATCGGGGATCACCAGTGGACCTCTGACACCCCCCCGCACTGGGATGCCCGAAGTGCACACACTGGGATTCGAACCCGAGACCTTCGCTCTGATACCATGTCAGAATCCCAACCACTAGACCATTGGGATAAAATGGCTTGTTAAGTAGAGGGTCAGTGCGCACATAACCCCCCAGGACAAGTAGCCTGTAACCCTTCCCTAGGATCAATCGGGAATCACCAGTGGACCTCTGACACAGGGTGGATCACAAAGTCACCACGCATTCTGAGCACAAGCAAGTGGCCACAAGGCCAGGTCACATGCAGATGTATATAATAGCAAGGCAGTACACTGATCACAACCTAGCAAGAGAAAACAAGCAGGTATAAAGATATATAGCAGTGTACAACAAGAGCAAGTCAAGCGACCAACAGGTGAGGCAGAGTCGGCACAAGCCCAAGAGCTGTGCAGAAACGCTGATGATCACCAGACCCAAGGGCCTTGGTGAAGACATCAGCAGTGTTGGCCCGAGAGGCCACGTAAGCAAGGCGCAGCTGACCACGCTGCTGCAGCTCACGCGCAAGGAAGTAACGAAGAGCAATGTGCTTCGTTCTGTGCTCCAGTCTCTGCTCGCGACACAAGGCAAGCATTGCCTTGTTGTCGACGTACAGAACTGGAGGAGAACGAGGCCGCTCCCCCAAGTCGGTCAGCAGGTAGGTCAGCCAGCGTAGCTCCTGTGCAGCCATGGCCCCAGCGTAGATCTCGGCCTCACAGCTGGAACCAAGCACAGAAGAAGAACGAGTGGACCTCCACGAGACAGAACCAGAGCCAAGACTGAAGGTGTAACCCTGTGACGAACGCTGAGTCGTCTGGTCGTCGGCCCAAGAAGCGTCAGAGTGTCCTGTGAGGACCACCGAACCCTGTCCTCCAAGCACGAGCCCCATGCCCGATGTGCTGCACAAGTAACGCAGTACCCTCTTCGCAGCATCAAAGTGCACCTTTCGGTGTCGACCAGGTGCCACGTAGCGAGCCAGGAGGCTGAGAGGGTACGCGAGGTCAGGTCGTGTGCACGTCATCAGGTACATGAGGCAACCCACAAGCTCTAGGTACGGACCACTCGGCTCTACGGACTCGTCCAAAGATGGAGCTGAGAGCGAGTGGCCGGTAGACAGAGGAGTGGGCTGTGGCGAGGACCAAGTGAAGCGGAAGCGCTGAAGGACCTGGTGCACCATGTGTGACTGAGTGAGGGTGATGGTGCGCCGTGGTCTGTCCCGGGTGATCTGCAAGCCAAGATAGCTCCGCAACTCACCCAGGTCAGTGCAGGTGTGTCTCTCCTGCAGCTCCGCCTTCACTAGGGCCAGTGCCTCAGTGTCAGCAGTAGCAAAAACCAAGTCGTCGACGTACACGAGGATGTAGAACGGCAGCAGAGTAGTGTCGGTACGTAGAAACAGCGACGGGTCAGCAGTCGAAGGAGCAAACCCAAGAGCCGCAAGTGTCGTCCTCAGTGTGTCGTGCCACTCACGGGGCGCCTGACGCAGGCCGTACACTGGTCGCCGTAGGCTCCACTGGGTACCCTCAGGAAACGACCCAGTGAAGCCCTGTGGACGGCGCAACCAGATGGCCTCGTGAAGGCTACCCTGCAAGAAAGCTGTCGAGAAGTCGAGGGAGTGCAGCTCGTAGTCACGCTGAGCTGCAACGTGTAGCAACACCCGAAGAGTGGTCATCTTCGGGGTGGGGGAGAAGGTCTGAAAGAAGTCGACCCCCTCGCGCTGACTGAAGCCTCGAGCAACGTAACGTGCCTTGAAGGCAGGCGGAGAACCCGGCGGCCGCTTCACCATGAAAATCCACATGCCACTGACGATGTTCGCCCCAGGTGGGGGAACCTCGTCGACGTAGGTGCCTGTGGACTTCCAGGAAGCCATCTCTGCGTCCATGGCTGTCTGCCACTGAGAGGAGTACTCACCCGAAATCGCCTCCCTGTAGGAGCGCGGGGTGGGGATGTCAAGAGCATCCGGGTCTCCCTCAGGGGCAAGCAGCATGGTCGTGTGATGGGGTGAAGCGGCAGCAAGGCACTCCAGCTCCTCATGTCTATCCTCAAGAACGTCACAGCCAAGGGCAGTACAGCCAAGAGCAGTCTCACCCCCGACGGACGGAGGACAGGCAGGGACAGGGTAAGAGACAAGACTCGCAAGGTAGTCTAGGCGGTACACAACAGCAAAGTCAACGAGCTCAGCTACTAGGGCAGACGCAGCAGGAGACGAGAACGTAGGGTCCGTCACAACCGTAGCAAGAAGGCGAGTAACAGTCGGACTGGACGCACGAGAAAGGTCAGACAGAGGGTCAGCAACGTCAGGCAGAGAGGACGCAGAAGGTAACGGTAGTACAACACGCTGAGGAACAGAGGAAGGACGGAGTGTCATATCGTGAGTGCCGGGGACAGCCGGAGCACGCGGACGACGAACACGAGGAACACGAGCACGGACAGCAGCTCTAGGCTCAGGCTCAAGGTCAAAGCTAGACTCAGGCTCTCGACGCTCAGGGGTGGAAGCACGAGTCTCAGGCTCTCGACGCTCAGTTAGGGACTCTGACACCGCAGTGTAAGGAGCAGGAGCAGTCAGTGGGGAGTGTGGTAGCAGCGGTGGCTGTGACTGGTCCACTGGCGGACACAACAACGGAGGAGTAGTACCTGCCACAGGGAAGCCAGTAGCACCTGGCGGAAGACTGAGAAGGTGGCGAAGAGCACCAGTAGCTCCCGTACCTCCAGCACGAGCAGCTCCTCCAGTACCCCCAGCAACACCTCCAGCACCAGTAGCACCAGCACCTCCAGCACCACGAGCTCCGACAGCGCCAGCACCTCGAGCACCAGTAGTACCTCCAGCACCTCCAGCTCCAGCTCCAGCGCCTCCAGCACCAGTAGTACCTCCAGTACCTCCCGTGCCAGCAGCTCTAGTAGCACCTCCAGCACCTCCAGCACCAGCAGCACCACCTGCTCCGGCAGCTCCAGCACCTCCAGTACGAGCACCTCCGGGACCAGTAGCTCCAGCACCTCCAGTACCTCCAGCACCAGCACCTCCAGGGTTAGCACCTCCAGCACCTCCAGTACCAGCAGCAGCTCCAGTACCCCCAGCACCAGCAGCACCTCCAGCACCACCAGTACCTCTAGTACCTCCAGTAGTACCTCCAGCACCAGCAGCACCTCCTGGACTAGTAGCTCCAGCACCAGCCGGACCGTACCCTCCACCACCAGGACTGCCTCGCCGAACGACCCACGCACGAATCGCCTGCGGCGAGAGCGTCTCAAGTAGAGCAGGCTGCGGTGGCTGTCCAACTCCAGTACCTCCAGTAGTGGTAGCTCTAGCACCTCCAGCACCAGAAGCACCTCTAGTACCCCCAGCTCCAGCACCTCCAGCACCAGCAGCAGCTCCAGTACCTCCAGTAGTACCTCCAGGCCT